TTCATGAATTCTGTGGTCACCCCTACGACATCTACTGCCGCCAAAATGGATGGAATATCAAAGGCATAGCAACAACCCCTTGTTATGATAACTCGTAACGTTGAATTTACTGCAGCTGACCTGACTAGCTAAACTGCTCACGGAAAGACATTTCTTTGAACTATACCCTTCACGGGGAAGAAGGCAAGACCGCACAGAAGCTGTGTGGTTAAAAAAAAAAGCAAAAGAAAAGATACACAATATTGGAGCGGTGAATGTGGGGCACCGTTGGGTTAGACGAATGCTTCAAGGCCTTCCTTAACCTGCTCAAATTCTGAAACACCTGCTTCTTTGCCGAGATACCGGGCGCTCATATTATAAGGTAAGGTTATAAAAACCATCTTTTAAGATCATTTTAGTGAAAGTTTCATGCTTCAAGGCGTACCATTCACTGCTCAAATACTAAACAACCTGCTTCCATTGCCGAGATACAGGGCGCTCATATTATAAGGTAAGGTTATAAAACCGCCTTTTAAGATCATTTTAGTGAAAGTTTCATGTTCCTATCTCATATAATTTAAGAACAATGATGAATAAATCATTTTTGAGCAAAATTTAAATGGCCGGCTGAATATATTACCGCCGGAGAGACGGCCGCGGAATTTAAATCACCGCACGAAAGGGTTAATTAACCCATCAGGTTGAAGGTATTTAAATATGCAATCAGAATTGGTCTCTGTGGGAGGGTAGATTATATGGGTGGCCATTTGAATTTCACATCTCTTTTCTTAGATTTTTCTCAGCAAGGTGTGCTTCTCTGATAATTGATGGTTTTCTGTGAAACTTTGGACAAGTTATTCATCATACTGCTAAATAGTATGTGTGTGACTATAGACAGTGTTTTTATTGGCCACTTACACACTCACAACTTGTGACCCCACTTTACAGATCACTGACACATGGACTAGTGTCCTCAGTGTATTTACATTCTCCACTAGCCATTTCCTGGCAGTGGATTTTAACACTAACAGCCTCACTGAATTACACATTCTGCATATCACACATGTAGTCTTCTCTTCACTTCCTGACTATCAACTCACGTGATCTGTAAACCTCATCTCACTTATAACTCCTTGGCACAGACCATACAGAAAACACTCTTCCTCTGTTGCTGTACAATGGTTATGGTTTTGTCTTTTGCTGCGGGAACATGTTTACTGAGCCGTTGACTAGAAACAGCTCTGGTATAGCTGTCTATTTTGCAGTTGTTACTTAGCAACAGCTCTGCATGCTACAATAGACTCTGTGTTTCAGAAATGTATAAAGGTGGTTACAATGATCTGAGCAGTTTGAAAAATTAGTTTTTAGAAACTGGGTGGTGTAGAGAAATTAAACTTTTGTTTCAGTCCCTTTTTATGATTGACAAAAAGCAACTACCAGACCGACCCTGAACTTGAGATCGTTAGTCTTTGTTGATGGAGCTTAACATTGTGACGTTTGCAACTTCCTGAGCATTTTTATGTACCACTAGCTGATTTTATTTCTTTCTAGAATTTATGGGTGAAGAAGCTGTTCTTTTGAATGAGCTCCAGTGAAATTTTATGTGTAATCCAGGACCAGTACTGGGTTTTAGCCAGTTTTCCTTATTTTGAAAAGGTAAAAGGCTAGTGAGGTCACTTTCTTGTCTGTATCCTCCCCAAATTTCTTACGCTCTGAGATGATCTTGCTTTCCGTATATCCATAATGTTTTAATTTTCTGTGTGACCCATGTTGTATCAAAGGAAGTAGACAATTATTTCTGCCTAGAATATCTTGTTCCTTTTCCTCTCTATATTTGATTTTGATCTTTCATATCTTGTCTCCATATTGTGACTTGATGGCTGAAAGCTGGAATAGCAGACCCAGAAAAAAACGTTGGTATGCACATTCCCATGGTAATGATTAACCACACAATAACAGAAGAATTGGAGGTAATGCTGTCCATGCTTGAGACTACATAAGGGAAATTTCACTAATTCATGGGAGAGCAGTCACTCCCCCAGTAGAAGGAGAGTGACCAGTTGTAGTCAGACCCCTCCTCTCTCAAAGATGAGTCCTCATTTCAGTATCACCAGCGTGCTTATCTTAGGACTGGAAGTCTTGCATGCTCACGATGCATCCATAGATTTGGAGCACAGTTGCTACAACGAGGCAATGAAGAGGTGTCATTTTGGCACCCTGGGGCATGACCACATTTTTCCTCCCCACATGAAGAAAAGCAGCAGAATGGCAGTGAATCATTGTGGTAGAGTTGTGGCAGCATGGCTGGAAGGACCCCCAGAGGTGGCAGATATGCTCGCATCATGGTGACATCCTTTAGTGGCTCCATTTGAAGATGAATACTGGGCCAGAATATTGGCGTCAGCTCACCTTTCTTCAGTTTCTTGTCTCTGACTGTTTCTCTATTGCTTTTCATGTTTAAAGTAAGAGTTCATAGTTTTCATTGATCTCAGTCTTTGAGCCAATGCCGGAGCATTGTTGAAATTGTCCGTGTCCCCTGTTCAGCATGGCTTCGCAAGTGAAAACACAATAAGCGGATATTTTGCTTGTGGCTCCTGAAATAAATGTTTATTGATTGGTGTCTGCCTGTGAAAATAACATATGACCATAGATAGTCTGAGCTAGACCCACACAGCTGATAGGACTTAATTCCAAATTTTCAGCTTTTCAGGAGTATGTATTGTTTGAGTGGGTAAATGCTGACCTAGTATATACAGATTCAGAAACTTAGGTTTGAAGTATGAAGAGATGGGATATTTTGGAAAGTTCAGAGGGCCCCCATGTCCGTGTTGCTGTTGTGAAGTGCATACATTTACAGATTGAAAACAGTCCATTGATATCTCAGATCTGAAGGTGTAGCTTGAGTAGAGTTTCTGTGAAAATGACACCACACTGTTAGCTTTTGGACTGTGCCCATTGGCATGAAGAAGAAAAACTTTTCCTGACCACAGATAAGAGACAGCTGTTCTTAGAGTAAGCTGTTTCTGAAAATAACATCTGACTTTTATTTGTCTTTTTGTGAGTGTATGTATTTTTATTTCTCTGCAGTGTGATGGTCCAATACCATGCCCTTGGTGTTTTGTACCACATTCGCAAGTCTGACCGTTTGGCTGTGAACAAATTGGTTGCCAAGTTGAGTCACATGTCTTTGAAATCCCCATATGCAGTCTGCATGTTGGTGAGTGTGAATAAAGTTATAAATTCTTGTTTCTGTTTTCGGATTGCCTGCACAACAGTAATACTATGCAGTGCTAGAATAATGTTTCTGATACATAAATATCTGAGCCAGCAGCATTGTGGCATAATTTTCGTGGTGTCGATGGCAGTGATCGTTTTCTCTCTGTGAGAAAAACTTAACAAGGATCCTTTTTCCATTTTTCTCGCCATTCCACTTGCTGTTCCAAAAACAGTATTTTATCTCTGGAAAAGTTCCCCCCCCCATATTCCATTGCCCATCAATAACAAAAACACTACTGTGCCCCTCAAAAGGGCTCTCTTACCACACATCTCTCCAATTGGTCCAGATCAGGGTTCTTTCTTTACCTCCACTTCATGGGTCTCGAACACCTTCCTTGTCACCTGCCTTTATATATGAGGGTCGTAGTGAAAGTCACGAGCAACAATTTTTTGTAAAGTCACATGCTTTATTATTGACAAACCAAATACACCACCTCAATCTACAGACCTTTCTTTATTTTTCCACATAATCGCCACTTTTTTGTACACATTTCTCCCAGCGTTCTGGTAGTTTGAAAATTCCCCTTTTATAAAATTCTGTTCCAGCCATCCGAAGACACTGACACACTGCTTTCTGAATTGCCTCCCTTGTCTCAAAACATTGTCCACGCAACTGATCCTTGACAAGTCCGAAAAGATGGTAGTCGGAGGGTGCCAGATCAGGGCTATAGGAGGGCTGTGGAAGAACTTACCACCCCATCTTTGCAATTGCTTTGAATGTGAGGCGAGCGTTGTCATGCAGGATGATGATATTTCGTCCCGGACGTTTATCGCGCAATGCATGACGGAGCTTGTGCAGCGTCTGGACATAATGAGCAGCATTGATGGTTTACCCAGGTTCTAGGAATTCGGCCAGAATAAACCCCTCTGCATCCCAGAAGAATGTGCCCATCACCTTCACAGCTTTGCCTTCTTTTTTGATGGAGACTAGCACCACAAAAGCATATATAGTTTTTGTTCATTATTTATTAGTGATTTTTGTATGGGTATGAAACTTGGTCTCTGAACATAAATGGAAGATAATAATAATAGTAAAGGGAGATTGAGGGTTTTGAGGGGGTTATTTAGACCCGAGATGCAGGCAGTAACAAGGAGAATGGAGAAAATTATTGCATAATTTTGTACTGTTCATTATTATTGGGATGATCAGGTCAAGAATGATGATACTTGAGGTAGATGGGTACGGAATTTAGCACAAAAGGAAGATACAAGAAATATGTACAAAATTTTGGTCAGAAAATCTGAAGGGAATTGATGACTTAGATGTAGATGGGAGGATAGTATTGGAGTAGATCTTAAAGAAATAGGGTGAGATGGTATGGACTGGATTCATGTGGCTTATGAGAGGGGCCCATAGCAGGCTCTTGTGTCTGTGATAATGAACTATCTGGTTCCAGTGATAGTCGTGAATTTCCTGAGCAGCTGAACAACTACTAGCTTCTACGAGTAAAGGTGGACTCTGTTCAAGGTAGTATTAAGTAACTGAACAAAGATTGCATGTTTCCATAGCCTAACATGTTCGTTTGTTTGCAGATCCGAATTGCATGCAAGCTGCTTGAAGATGAAGATTCTTCAGGGGGTGGATCTTCAGATTCTCCTCTGTTTGAATTCATAGAGTCATGTCTCCGTCACAAAAGTGAGATGGTAATCTATGAGGCTGCTCATGCCATTGTTAATTTACGCCGAACCACGTCTCGGGAACTGGCACCAGCTGTCAGTGTCCTTCAGCTCTTCTGCAGCAGTCCAAAACCAACTTTGAGATTTGCTGCTGTCAGAACGTTGAATAAGGTATGTCTCTATCACTGCAGAAGCCTTTCTCTTCTTTTGGTCCTCTCTATATGAATTACAGCTTTTCCTTTCCCACATTTTACATTTTTATCTTATAGTATGGAAACAGCATGGCCTCTCCCAGAAACATGAATATAGGTTAAAAAAGGTAAAGCTATCCCTGCAACAGGCCGTGGAGGCCCATAGGGTTGTGAGAAGTCCAGGCTACCACATTTTCTAGATAGTTGGCTTGTGAGGTTGTCAGCCTCACGTACGGTCCGCTGTTTACCCCCCCCAGGAAGATTCCTGGTACTAATTTCTGTTAGAGGCTGAGTTGACCCCAGGGCCATAGTGAGGCTGAAAAATCCAACGACCTCATTGGGACGTGAACCCACAACATTCCAGCTTGTAGCATAGTGCCTCAACCAACTATGCTATCACGTGTCCTTCGCAAAAAATATCAATAACTTTTTTTTTATTACAAATTTTGGCAGATATTTGTAACACGTTAACACACGCAGCAGTCAGAACAAGAGATGTTTTGGATTTGAGGTTCTCACAGAAGTGACTACGGAACGTATATTATCTGCTGAAATGTGATGCCACTTTTTTATTTTGTTTATTTATAGGTTGTATAATGATGCTTTCAGTAGCCACAGTATATAAATTTGAATGGAGGGATGGCAAATGAATGATGATTTGGAAATGTTTGAAAGGGAGTAATTGTGGCCTGAGCAGGCCGCTATCTTGGCTTTTCATGGAGGGGCTGATGAAACCTGTAAAAAGAAACTCAGGCTGGATAGGTGGTGTCGTGGGTGAAATTCTAGCTGATCACCTCCCAAATATGAGTCAAGAGCTTACTGCTACACCAACCCCATTCTGTGTCCACTTTTGTAGTTGAAGAATAAACGAAGCAAGCAGAGAACAGATCTGCTTTTTGCTGGCTGCTTGCTTGGCTTATACTCTGACCCTGAACATGGAGATATGGTGGGTGATTGTTTGCTTGGCTTACTCTTCAAACTTGGGGTACGCCGCAGTGTAGTTGGTTGAGGCACTATGCAACAAATCGGAAGGTTGCGGGTTCAAATCCCAATGAGGTCATTGGATTTTTCAGTTGACTTAACCCTTCCAGCTGCACTATAGCCCTGGGGTCATCTCAGCCTCTAACAGAAATGTTTACCAGGAATCTTCCTGGGGCATAAAGGGTGTCAGGTGTTGTAAGGCTGACAGCCTCACTGCCATCTGTGAGCCAGTTGTCTAGAAAATGTGGGAACCATGATGTCTCACAACCCTGTGGGCCTCCACAGCCTGTTACAGGGATACTTTTATTTGACCTCACCACAATCTCTGAGCTGATTGTCTAGAAAATGTGGGAGCCTTGACGTCTCACAACCCTATGGGTCTTGACGGCCTGCTAGAAGGGTAGCTTTACCTTTCTTTTCACCTTTACTCTTTATCTATAGTGCATTACTTACTTAATGACTACTGCTGCTGCTTCCACTACTACTACTACTACTACTACTACTGCTAGTTTGTTTCTGTATACAGATGTTTGTACCTTGAGGACTTTATTTATTTCCCAAAGGGACAGCATGGAGCAGCATTGCATTGGTCACATTAGGTGGAGTTTGAGTGACCTTGCAACGTAACTGTTCGTCATGCAAGCCATTTTGTTCAAGTAGATTAGATGTCCCATTTACTTTTTATAACTGGTTTTGTGTTCAAGTGTATTGTCATCTTGTCTTTAGTATGGAGTCGATATGAGAGCAAAAATATGGTCATGTGTCCTGATGGGGCCTAAACCAAGATTGCCTGTACTGACAAGGGCTAGAAACAATTTACTGCTCTGCTGTCTGCCATGAATTAGTTGCAGTTGAGAGTTAGTCATGGCTAGGAGACCATGAGAGATAGTTTTGAGCCAGCCACAGTGCAGCCGGGAGCATGAGTTCAGAAGCAAAGAAATAACTCCACATTAGGAGCCATAACTAAGCAATGCCTAATGAAGATTGAGAACAATAGTGCATATTAAAGAGATTTTTACAATGTAATTGCAAATTGTAGACATTCACCAAATCCAGTTATCAATCCAAACCCTGTGTGTGGTCACTAACATGTGACAGTATGATAAATATTTCAGAACTGCATACATGGTTATTTAGAAAGAAGCTGTCTAAAATGAGAGACATAGTCTTTTGCAATTGCAGTCTGTAAAGTTAAGATTAAATTCCATTAAGTGCAGCAGTCCTTAACACCTTTAACACTTACAAGTCAAGACATGCATGTAATGCATATGAAGTTTTTCCTTTAAAGTGTTGGTCGCCTTCCATTGATGGCCATAATTCGCCCAAACCATTTAAAGGCTCTACTTTAGTATTAAAATACATTGTTTCACTTGATGAAATTTAATCTTTACTTAAACTGTTAAAATTATATTAATTTGTGAGATTTGAAGTTGTCACAGCTGTGACTAGGAAGAGTAGTATCATTGCAGCATCAGTTAACTTGTATCTGACTACATGTCATCATATTCCTAAAGATAGTGCCATTTTTAATTTGTTTGTACTTGAATGAATGAATGAATTAATTAATGAATGTTTCATATTGCAGGTTGCCATGTCTCACCCTGAAGCTGTAACAGCTTGCAATTTGGATCTGGAGAATCTTATCACTGATTCCAACAGGTCTGTAGCCACTCTGGCGATAACAACTCTTTTGAAGACAGGAGCAGAATCTTCAGTGGACAGGTTGATGAAGCAGATTGCTAGCTTTGTCTCTGAAATTAGTGATGAGTTCAAAATAGTTGTGGTTCAGGTAAAGTGTCAAATTCTTTTACAACTTAAAATGTAAATTCAGTGATAGTTTGTGTAATAAAAATTATAAAGAACCTGGGAAGTTAAATGTATGTGAATTGGATGAGGTGGGTAATTAAACCACTGGTTCCCAGGTTCTTTAAGTATTCAGGGTGCCCAGGCAGGTTGATACACACAGGGCACATAGAACACCAACGTTTACAGCCTGGAGTGGAAGGGTTAAGGATAGTTGGATCTGTGGCTTAGTGCTTAATTAAGTACAGGGATGAACTTATTATTGCTAGTGGGGTGGGACTAAGTCCCTTGTACTGCGGCCACTTCTGGCCAATTGTACCAGCCCCAGATTATAGGCGAGCGTGATTGTGGAGCAATTGGTGGAATGAAAATTGGCAGGGGAAACCGAAGTACTTGGAGAAAACCTTCCCCAGCGCCACTTTGTCCACCACAAATCCCACTTGAGCAGACCCAGGGTCGAACCCGGGCTGCCGCAGTGGGAAGCCAGTGACTAACAGCTTAAGCTATGGTGCTGCCAGAGACGAACTTAACTTCACCTCCTTTCTGTTTTCTAAACTACTATGAACAGTGTTGTAGACAAAGCATCCCATTCTTTTTCTCCCTGTTTTAAAATTTCTGAGTCATCGTGTGAAAGCATCTGTGTTTTGTTTCTTTTAAATTCACTGTAATGATTCCATTTATTCCTCCAATGTGGAAAGCTCTTAAAGGACTTTGCTCTCTTTCTTTCTGAATTTTAATTATAAATATAGCTGCTCTTCCCTACAGTTTGCAGCCCACATTAAGCTTCTGCTCCCAACTGTGCAGCATCATTCTCATGGCCACCCTGTCTCTGGGTATGACAACCTGTCCTGTAGGTGCCACTACCTTAGACAAGTATTAGGCGTAAGAAGCCAGGACAGTCAATGCAGGCCATATGCGGGTCACCATCTAAACTGCAATAATGTAAATATTGTTTGTAAAATGGGGACACCAGTTGTTTGATCATGTAATGGCATCTTAAAAGCTGCTATAATTTATTATTTCGCTGTACCATATGGCATTGATTCTCAGATTTTTGCATATTGGGTGCCGTCAGTGATTTTGTCAAGAAGATGCAGTCCCACCATAGTAAAAATACAGCTTCTTTGTTTGCAGGAAATGAATTTCTACACGTATCTACACTTTTGCATGATATTAATGATTCATGGAAGAACCTAAGCCTAAGCGCATAAAAAGATTTTAACAATTTTTGTTCATATATTTTTTCTATACTAATACATTACATGGATAATCCTATGTTTGCAAATAGAATTATGCAATGACAGTATAGTTCTATTAGCAGAAATGTTTTTAGAGTGCAGCATTAAATATAAGGTGCAGAGAAGTTTTGTATGACTGAATTATTTTCAGTGGAACTGCAGCCACTGACTTAGAAAGACTGCATTACAGTACAGACTTAGTATGCAGATTGTTGAATGTGATAATTGCTTCTGTTCATGGTGACAGGCAATCCGAGCTCTGTGCCTGAAATTTCCACGCAAACACAGTGTTCTGATGAATTTTCTGTCTGCCATGTTGAGGGATGAGGGAGGTCTAGAATACAAGGCCTCAATTGCCGACACCATCATCACCATCATTGAAGAGAATCCAGAAGCAAAAGAGACTGGTAATTAATGTTGTCTTAAGAGTATATTAAGGAACTACTTACTATCTTGTACGTAATATAAGCTTAATTTGGTGAAATGAACTGTAAAAGTCATCATTGTGTAAACATGAAAACTTAATTTGGTTAGTGGTAGTTACTATTTAATTGTAAACAGAATCATTGTTAGTTATTTAATTATGTTCAAGTATGTTATTTGTGACATATAGTTTCATTTGACTTGAAACATGGTTGAGAACATATTCAATGGAATAAGGTTAGACATAGAAGTATATAATTTAAAGCTCTTAACAAGATTTGATTTAGTTAGGTTTGTATGTTTGGAATTTATTGTGATGAGAGGTGAAACAACACCTATTTGAACATGATTTCCAGTAACACCACTATCACTCCTGTCATCTCCACTGCAGTGCCTCAGTTGCCATAAACTGGACAGCAGAATACATATTAAGATTTGAAGTTCTCTTGACAGTGACGATTAAGTTAATGGTCCTCAGAGGTGTTATACCCTGTAGAGCATGTAGAGCAGTAGTTACCGGACTGCAGTGCATTACATCCCTGAAGACTTTGATCTACACGTGTTTAATGCAAGGAACATATTGCATTGTTTTAGGTTTGGCACACCTTTGTGAATTTATTGAAGACTGTGAACATACAAGCCTTGCAGTCCGCATTTTGCATTTGCTTGGAAAAGAAGGTCCTCGAACTAAACAGCCATCTAGGTAATATTTCCTGTTGCATATTCATGCTGCATAGGAGAAGTACTTTGTAGCGAAACCGAATATGATATCCATCAGCATGTACATGGTTCTCCCCTTAATATTTTACTACAATATGAGATTATCACAGCAGTGTACAAGAAATTTACAATCTTCTGTACTGTTACAATGTGTGTTCTTGAAATGTTGTGTAGCAGTCATTCTTTGAAAAATGTGAAAATTATGTTAAGGGCATGCTTCTTTGAATCAAAAACAGTGTAATGACAGGCAAAATATAATGTGTCTACTTTCCAGTTTGATAGTAGTGGCTAATGAACCCATTACAGTCAGGTGTTTGAAATGTTATGTGGAGGTATTTTATAGACACTAAAGTCAGTTACAGTTTCTCTTAATCACTAAATCGCTATTGCTGATTTACACACACTGGTCCTCTCCTGGTAACAATTAAAACACAGGAACTAGCGCTTCAAATCGCTCCAAATATTACACGTGAATAAAGTCATCTAATTGCACTTTTAAATCTTCACAGGTCAACTTCTTATTCCTCTTCTATGATGAACTCAGAACTCAAAACTCTGTCACTCACTGCCACCGTCAGTTCTAGTTCCAGTTCACTTACAGCTCACAGCTCTGATTATATAGTTGCAGCACAGGCCCCACGGAAAACACAGCCTCTATTGTTGTAGGGGCATATTTACCTTGTTGTATAGCGACAGTCGTGGCGCAGACTCCATAGAAATGAGTCTCTGCTGCTGAGCTTGTCCACCGAGCCATTGCTTGGCAATGCGTTGATCAAATACAATATGAAATATTTTTTACATTGTCGAATATAATAGATGTTGCAACAATGCAAAACTTTGATTTTGTGTCTTAACACGTTTGACATAAAGTGGAATCCCACTTCAGTGATTCTGCATTTATTGAATTTCTTTGGTCCAATTTAAAGTATGTATTATTTTCTCACATTCAGTGAATTTCACTTTAGTAAATAATCTGCATTTACTGTGAGAAATTTTCAGCCTTCTACCACATGTACCTTGATACGGTACAGTTGTGTTCAAGATGACAGTTAATATTTGAATTTTCTCTCTGTCAGAAATCATTACAACGCATCTGTAATCTCTGCTGAGTGACATATTGAACATTCAGCAAAGCCACAGAACTTGTGACATCATAGTTTCATTGATTCTGGACTGAGGATCCTTTAGAATTTATTTCATGTCATTGTGGTAGAAATTAATATGATATTATTGCATGCAGTTGTACTTATTTATATATAAACAGTTTCTTTAAACACATATTGTAAAGAAGGAGCCGTGATAGCGTAGTCGGTATAGTGACTGGCTGTGGGATAAACGACCAAGGAGGTCAGAGTTCGAATCCCAGTGGGAGCAAGAATTTTCACTTCTCCCTGTTGCCAAGAGCAACTCTGGGGTCCACCCAGCCACCTATCCAGTGGGTACCAGGTGGAAGGGGGCTCTTTCCGCAGGGGTAAAGTGGCTGGGGCGTGAAGCTAACTACTCACTTTCAACTAGTGCCAAGGTCAAGAAAACGTGGATCTATACATCTTCATAGCATAGTGCTTAATTTGTTAAGCTCAAGGTCAACTTTACCTTTACCATATGTAAAGAAATTATTTTATATTGGTTGTATATGTACATCAGGTCTTATAAGAAAATGAATAATATCTTCATGTAATTTTGTACATCCTTGTTCACTGACCACCTTGATTTATTGCAAAAGAATCCATTCCCCATAGATTCATTAAATATGGATTTCACTATATATTGTAAGGCATGACAGTAACAGTCTTCAGTTTCTCTTGTGGCATTTTAATGCATAACTCCACATTGCTTACAGATATATCCGATTCATCTATAATCGTGTTATTCTGGAGAATGCACCAGTTCGAGCTGCTGCGGTGGCTGCCATGGCTCAGTTTGGAGCAGCCTGTCCTGATCTTTTGCCCAACATACAGGTTTTACTCATGACCCTTTTATCATGCTCTTAACACAATGTATTTCCTAGATTACTGTTCGTACTTATTCTGAATTCCAAGTAGAGAAATATTAAGCATGACTGTACAAGTAGAAAATCATGTGTTTACTTCCCTTTGTTGAATTGCAGGGAACATTCATAACAGCATCTGTAGTACAAGTATAGTATGGCCTATAATGAGAAGTATATTTTATCTAGTAGTTTTTATATACCCTCAGTTTAATTATACAAAGCATAGCAATAATTCGAGGTGGAGGAGGAGGAGGATGAGCTCAGGATAGCCGGGACAGTAGAGAGGCTTGGTTGTTAATGTCCAGCATAAGCAGCGGCCTCCGTAGTCTAGGGGTAACATTCCCGCCTCGTGACTCAAGGTACGTGGCTTCAAACCCGGTGGAGTTCGTGGAATTTTTAAGGCCGGAAAAATTCAGGGAACAAGTCCTCTAGGAGGGACTTTAATAATAATAATAATAATAATAATAATAATAATAATAATAATGTCCAGCATAAAGTGGAAATGCTGAAGGAAGAAGTCAACGCGTAGCAGTAATCTTCATTTTTAATATTAATGCTTTTTCAGAATCTCCATTGTGGAGGGTTCTTTCCTGACATTTGTAGTTTCAAATAAACATATAAGTCTTGTCCAGTGAATTACTCAATTTATTTCTCAAATATGCCTCTCATTCCAAATGTTACAAAAATGTGTTGTATCATAGCACCATAATTAACAGTTGTGACATTGATTTTGATATGTGAAACAATGAGGAAATTGTATAGTACCTAATCCTTCCAGCCGCACTATGGCCCTGGGGTTCACTCAGCCTCTAACAGAAATGAGTACCAGGAATTAATTAAATAATTTTCCTGGGGAGTAAAGTGCGGCTGGCGCATAAGGCTGACAACCTTAACACCATCTTTGAGCTAATTGTCTAGATCAGGCATGTCCAGCGCGTCGATCGCGGGACGATTTTTGGTCGATCTCATAGGCCTATAAGGAAATTATATGTGAAAAGCATGTAAATTCACTTGCAACGTAATATGATTATATTCAGATTTTGAAAGGAAAATACATATTAAAGTAGTCTGTACTTTCAATGTATGTTGCTTTTACAACAAACATCATGTGTCGTGTTATTTTTACCAGTATTCTTGCTTAAAGCGAGGTACGACGATACGAGGGAGTGGTAGATCACTGGCAGTTTTGACATTAAAAAGTCAATCACAACCTGTTTGATGTTGGACATGCCTGGTCTAGATAATGTGGGACCCTCAACGTCTCACAACCCTATGGGCCTTCACGGCCTGGTACAAGGATAGCTTTACTTTACTTTACTTTTGCATTATTTGTGCATATATTTTGGTGACTTAACACAGTGTAAGTGTTTCACAGTATTCGGCCATTTATTAAGTGGAAGTAGAAGAACATTTTGAAGTTGCTAGCATCTGAGATTTTTTTTGTTCCATTAATAAAATGTAGGGCAACTATTGTCACATACTACTTGTGTGTGTGGTATGAAACTTTATGAAATTATGCGTTTATAAAATATGAGCCAAAGGTACACTATCATTTCCTTTTAATTGTTCTGTAGTGTTATATTGGTGTGTAATGGTGACTAGACTTGGGGTTCTCTCTGTTAATTAGATTTAATGGACACTGAATTGTTATATTTACATATAATTTCACAGCATACAAATATACACTATGGTTTTGTAATCACTTACATCACTCTTGCTTTTCTGCTCTGTCATCAGAGACATGTTATTAGGCTTTGGGGTCTGCTAACAGAGACTGTCCCACATGTGGCTTGTCTTTGACGGCTGTAGTTGGGTTGGGTAAATTGCTGCTTGTCCTTACGGCACAGTCATTCTTAGTTCTGGGTCCCTTGGGACTTATACCATATTCTTCTGTCTCATCTCTTGGACTGTGCAACTCTTTGTGACATTCCTGACAAATTTGGAACTGGCATGCTGCCTTATATCAGCAAGTTTCAGACTGATTGGAGAATGTAGGACTTGAGGTTTGAAAACGGTGACTATGAAGAATGCCGACTTCTGGGATGTGACACTGTGTAGATCTTGTGTGAACTGACATTCCTCCAAAACATCAGTTCACACAAGGTCTACATGGAGCCACACCCCAGAAGTCGGCATTATTGATCAGAAAATGCTTTCTTTGACTGTTGTGCGCATAGTAATTTATGCGGAAAGATGTTTTAATAAACCATTGCATAACAGTGGACACCTCTGCAACATTCCTGACTCCAAGCATCATGTCACAATATTATCGTACATATTTGCCTTATATTTTAAAGGAACTTGTATTATTTTATGTCTGTTTTGGTACTTAAAATTGTTTAAAATATAGTATTATCTTCTGGGCTGTGATGTTGGGTATTCTGGAATCAATTTACCAACATTTCAGTTGTACCTACTGCTTCCATCTTGAATGTTGAAGATTAAGGCAAGCAGACTGCTTAGTGATGGCTTGGGTTACCCTTCAACCCTGAAGATGGAGACAATACATTCCTTTGAAATGCAGATAAATTTCTACTGAACTGCTTAGCATCACATCACACAGACAGCAGTGTTGAGTCATTGCTGTGAGAACCTCAAATCAGATTTAATTAAAGTGGCATTACTGTTTGCCATGCAGGTCTTGTTGGCCCGCTGTCAGATGGATACAGATGATGAAGTCCGAGACAGAGCTACATACTACTACAGCATTCTTGAGACGCAAGATAAACCATTAGCCAACCATTACATTGTGGAAGGGTTGCAGGTTAGTGGCAATAAGTGGATATATATTCTTATGTAGGAAGTTCTTATCTTTATTGACCATTTCACAGCACTGCACTCCATGGAAACTGGTGCACTGCTGACTGTGAGGCGAATACAAATTTTGCTGCTGAAATGGTATCCTACAACAAATCTAGATGTTGATACATGAAACAAAATTTTGGAATGTGAAAGAATGTGATAACGCTGCCTTAATTTTTGTGTGAATGTGCGTAGATGGGAGATGAAACATTTCGTAATGAAGTAATTTAAATCTCTTACATCTGCATTACTCAGTTTTAGTTTGCAGCCAATAACAGAACGTTCTTGTTTCTTAAGTAAGGGGGCAGTAATGGAAGTTCATGGTTGATTTCATAAGTAGTGAAATATAATACCTGAAAATCTAAAATTCAGACCTGTGTGGTGATCTTCTGGTGCAGTCTCCATTTAATGTTCTTTAATTTTCAAATTCAAATATCAGCAGGACATATAACAATATACGCAACTCATCAGATGTTACATATACGTGCCGTGAATTTGAGCTTGGACCAAGTGGTATTTTGACCAGTAGTCTGTGAAGCTGCATTGACGACTCTGTTGCATACATCAAGTGATCAAAGGCCCCAAGTGAGGAATCTCAGTGTTAAATATCCTGTTTGATATTTTTCTTAGTTTAATATTCAGATCTGCTGGTCCCCAGAGAAACTTTAAGTGTGTTTTCACTGTAATCTCTTTTACTTCATTCTTGGGAGATTGAACATGAGACTTCATCCATTGCATGATCACTGTTTCCTGTTTCCTATTTCACTATTCAATCTACTGATGATTCATTTGAAAGGTCTTTTTTTTAATTGTGAATTTGTGGTAAAAAACATTTTGAGTGAGTTTCATAAAACAAAATGCACCTGTCCATCACATTTAAAAGCAACAGTCTTCCTGAGATTGTAGTTGTAAGGTATTTCATGGGAGAAATTTTTCAAGGTGTTGAAAATCTCCACTCATTTTCTGGTTTATGATGCTGTGATGTATGATATGTGGGAACTGTCTCTGGACCCTCCCAAAATTTTGACACCCACAAAATTATGCACTGCTGTAACCACAAAAGACCACAGTCTAAATTTGGAGACAATAGTTATCAGATAGTGAAAGTTTCACCTAATTTGTTCCCAGGTGTCAATCCCAAGTCTTGAAAGGGCTCTTCATCAATACACTATGAATCCCACAGATGTTCCGTTTGACATGAAATGTGTACCCTTAGCAGCTGTGCCATCTGAGGAAATTGTGAATCCATCTGCTAAAGGTGGACAGGCTGATGGCATGCTCATCTCTGCTGCATCGTCAGGTAACTAACTAAATGAAACAGAATCCTTGAAAAGCTAACAGTTGCTCAGGTAGTAAAGAAATTCCCATCATTTTATGGAACCCAAATGCTTATAACTGTGGTCACAGTAGGCCTCCACTGATCCCCATCCTGAGTGGGATTAATCCTACAGGAATGACCTGTCTCTGTAGTTCCATGAGATAAAAATAAACTTCCATGCCGTTGTTTCAGTAAACCTTATGTAAACTGTACGAGGACCAAAGGGCAACAGTGATGTACATTTTGTCTGGAAATAGCAAAAACGAATACCCAGTCAGCTACAGAGCTCTTAAGGCTAGAGGGAGAGAGATATGTGCAAGGCATTTGTTACTTCATAAACAAAATTCCTAAATTTATTCAAAAAAGAAAAAGAAGTATATGTACAAAATATTAATAGTATATTATTAGAGTTAAGATAGATATTATTATTATAAGCGACCTCCGTAGTCTAGAGGTAACGTTCCCACCTCATGACTCATAGTACGCGGGTTCAAATACCCGGTGGAGGTCGTTGAATTTTTAAGGGCGGAAAAATTCAGGGAACAAGTCCTCCAGGAGGGACTTTAAGCCGTGGGTCCCGTGTCGTAGCTTTATGGCACGTAAAAGAACCTCATACCTCCAAAGGAGGTCGCTGAGCAAAATTGCAGACGTTTGCCGCCCAACAGCAGTCACTAATACCTCCGGTAGATGGGGGGAGCATTATAGATACTTCTCAGCCAGTAGAGAGCCGGTCTCGCTGGCTGGGCGGGACTGATGGTAAG